CAGGTCAGGTTAGCTGCTACAGAGCAGGTCGTTTTGAGGTTGAAAGGGTGCTTTGTTCCGCAGAGGATGTGGTTTAATGTGGTTTTTCCGAACTAGGGTGTTTTGGTCCCAGACCCAGTGGTGCGCAGTGACAGGATGAGGAGCAGTGGCCATAAATACAACACAAGAAGTTTCACCTCAACATGAGGGGAAACTTTATGTTGAGGGTGGCAGAGCACTGGAACAGGCTCCCCAGGGACATTGTGCAGGCTCCCTCTCTGGAGGCATTCAAAACCCACCTGGATGTGTTTCTGCATAACCTGCTCTAGGTGGCCTTGCTTTGGCAGAGGGGTTGGACTAGATGATCTCCAGAGGTCCCATCCAGCCCTAACAATTCCGTGATTCTGTGTGAAAACAGAATGCAGCCTCAAAAGAGGCTTCACCACAGCAACCGTGAGCTCTCTGCTTCTCCACGTGGTGGGGATGGGCAGCGTGGGGCTCTTAAGTAATCCTCTCAGATGATGATGCATTTGGTTACAGTCACACTGCTTAACGGAGAAGCAGGAGCAAAAGCCCTGACAAACACCTATGTGCACCCTCTCAAAACTAGCTCCAAGAGCATTATGGCAGCTATTGCACTGAAGGTTTTTTTAAGACTTCCACAGAAGCATCTGGAGTTAGCTCAGGTGGGACAATGCTCCTGACATACGCAGCCACAGGTTTGGTCTTTTAAAGTAGCATGTGTTTCCCCCCGTCTGCCAGAGATAAATTATGCCTTTACACTTCTTTTTCTTCTTTTTTTTAAACTGGAAACATATGAGCATACATGGATTTGATTTCTTCCTTTTTTGCATGCACACTGTTTGCCTTCCATTGAGAATATGCCTCAATCCAGCATGGAAACAGGCACTTAGAAACAATTTTGGCCCCTACCTCTCTCTTCCCCTCAGTGTTATTTCATTCTATTAAGAGCTCTGAGCTCTGCTGAAAACAAGTTCTCACTGCCTGAGCATGAAATGGCATTGAAATGAGCTCTGGTGGGAAGCAGCTTTTACCCAAGTTTAGCACCCTTATTTTCATGAGGAAATACTATCAGTATTGTTTGGGCAACTCTTTCCACAGTGCAGTGAGAGCAAGAACAAAGGAACTCTCTTACCCCTCCACACCTTCTTGGACAGCACCATGAGCCCTGTTTTCCTTAGGATGGTATTTTTAAGCGTAATTAATTTTATCTGAAGCTTTATCTGCTTCTTTGCTCTCCCCATCTGCATTTTACAGTTCTATCTATGCCTGTTTGATTGTATCAGCATAAAGATACCGATGTCTCCAGGATGCAGTTTTATGTGCATTACCAGTTTGCTAATATTGAGATTACTGATACTGTTGAAGGCACAAGGGGTTGTGTTTTTCTCGAGTAAGATCATTGTTTCACTTCTTGTCTCTGCAAGGCCACAACAAGCACATCATATATTGACACAGAATGAGATTTAAAATCCCCGCCAGCCACAGAACAGCAGCAGCCACAGATCTCCTGGCACACCTGCACCTCATCTCAAATGCAGCCAGTAAGCTAGAAAACACAGCATTGACTGGCTTCTTCTCAGATGGATGGAATACTCGGGCAGATGAAGATCCTGAACACCAAGGATCAAGGCCAGAAACCTGGACAGCAAGCACTTAAATTGCCAGCAGCACTACTCAGGTGAACAATACATGCTTGAGTGTCTGGTTTTCTTAAACAAAATACGGATAGATACCAGATATATAAGACGAGCAGTATTTATTTTTCCAGTCACAACTGGACATTTTGAGGTGGTGTAAGCCAGTAACCTTTCAGGGTACTGTTCTTTCTTTCATGTAACAGCCTGCAATTGTTGCAGTGCTATCTTCATAAGCAGTTGTCCCTTCTTTTCCTCCCACTCCATGCGATCCTTTGCTCTACACATCCATCTACTCCTTTTAGTTAGCCCTCCCCTCTGGCTTCACACTGTGACCCTGCCCATTACTGTTTGAAGGCAAGTCACCATTCATCAACTCTTTCCTCCCAAACCCACACAGCTGCCAGCAATGCTAAATTAAAAGCTGGGTGCTCCAGCAGAAGTAACAGAGTGTAGTTTTCCATTGAATTTCTGCATCTCAGTTGATTGACTTTTGAGCTGTAGCACAAGCACAGGTCATTACTTAAAAGACTCTAACAGGGATTTAACTGCAAAACAAGCTTCACAATGAGGTTTGTCCTTCAGGCAACAGAAACCAGTCTTCAGTGGAAGATTCCTCCTATTAGGAATTGAACGAATCTCTATACAATATCTTATCCTGCTTTGAGAAACATGATTTCTCTCTGCTTCTATAAAACTTCATAGGAATTTGATATTTTACAGCTCTGTCAAATGTTGAAATTTGTTGCCAGTTTTGTAAGTTAACAGTGACAAAGCGTATGATCTGCCCCATTTCTAAATGAAATCAGACTACTACTTGCCTTATAACTGTATTGACAAATAAGTCCATAGCTGTTTACAAAATGCACTTGTATTTTCAGCAAATTATTAATCTTGGCTTTCTCTTAATTCTGTATGAAAAAGCCTTGTAAATAAGTCAGCTGCTTGCATTTGAATGATCTTAAAGTGCTTGCCATCCCTGTCAGCATTCCTTGCACAACTATTTTATACAATAGTGATGTTCACATTATATATATTGTGTGGTGTCAAAGATCCATAAGGAGTTTAATGTGTCACCAGAAAACACAGTCACTTAATATTTGCTTTTTGAATCTTCCCGAAAAGCTTCAAAACTCTCCAATCTTAGGGGACTGTTGGAAGACAAGGACCTCAATACATGTTGCATTTGTTTTGCTTTTGCTGAACTGCACATCATGTACAAGAGCATAAGGTTTAATACCTGCTTACTTGTTTCTACGGCAAACTCTGAAATGCTCTTGAACATGATCACATGGGAACAGGTCCTCACCAGGGTACACAGGAACTATCTTGACTACAGGAAATGCAAGTTCACGCACTCCACACACTGTTTCATGCCAATTATTGCATATTACTATTATAAAAAAAAAAAGCTCCCATATTAACCTCACGACATATTTACTCTTAAAATGAATACTGGCACACCCAGTTCTTACTGCAGCTGGAACTGTTTATTGTAGCACATTTATTATGTTTAAACATTCAGAGGGAACATGTTTAGTGTCCTCCACTTTTGTGCACAGCATTATACATTATCACACACAGCTACAGGAATGTTGCTCACAAATGTAAGTTATCTAAAATATGCTTCCGTTTGGTTTTCTGTTCTGTTCCCAGAGTGAACAGACTACAGAAAATAAGGCATCCATTAAATGGTATCACAATCAGCAATGTCTATAAACTAAGTTGTGAAAACTGAACTTTTATAAGATCTAACGTTTAAGACAGCAACCAACAGTACCAGGTTATTAGGTTGGTAGGAAACATCCAGTTTCTTACACATGGATATGACTCTGAGAGACATATCTTCCGTGTATTTAAATTAGTTTAGACTTCAGGTTTACAGACTTGTGTACCAGAGGATGATTTCAAATAAAAAAATAGGTATTTTAAAAGTGCTTTTGTCTGACTTTTCCTTTAAAAACATAAGGTCAGCACACCGTGAAGCCGAAGACTGTAACTGATCCTACCCAGCACTGGATATAGGAGAACATCTACATTTCTCCCCACAACAAACCCCTCAAGCTTCAGTTCTGGCCTGGCATATCCCTGGCCTCTCTGAGAAGGGACTGCTACTTGTATCAAGTGGTACTTATGCTTATAGAAATACCTGTTTATGCTCTCAGCTGTATTTTAATGTCTCCAGAAACAAATTACACCAAAATGTATAGCTTTAGTTTATTTGTACTGAGTGCAAATAAACAACAGATGCCGAGAGCTCTAGAGTGAGCTTCCATTCATATAGTGATGGGTCAGCCATAGCCTGCAGTACTGAGGGCTAGGCTGGGGTTAAAGCTGCAGTTGTCTAGCACTATTTTTACTTATTGTTGAAAGTTACTGCATTTCTATTCTATTCACATCATCTAGCAAAGTGTCTGAACACAAGACAGCTTTTTAATGCCCTCTGCACAATTTAACTGAGGAAACAAATAAACAAAGCTAATAAAAAAACAACGCCCTAAACCCCTGAACTAGTAATGAGAGTGCCTAATCAGAAAGACTGTAAGTTTACCATAAGCTTCTGCCACAGGCTTACACTGTTTTTTGACAAAAGCAAATTCAGGCTTTAGGTATAAGGTTTTCCACAAGCTCCACTGTCCAGTTCTTGTGGTATGTGCTCCTTTAAAGCTTCCATGATACATTCCCACAATCCATTACGTATGTTCACTACAACCTGTATAGGAGAGGGTGAAAAATTTGTCAGGTACATGCATCGAAATAGTAGTCTCATTGTACAAAGAACCTTAAAAATACCTCTGAACTATTTACTTACTTATTTGACATACCCTCATAAGAAACTGCTGTGAATCACCAGAAAACATTTTGAACATGTGAAAGAATTGAGCCTTCTATGTCCTGTGGGGCTGCATGACTAATTAAGGAGCAGAAGCCATAATGCAACATCCCACTCAAGATAGATACTTACTTCTCCTACAGATCATTTGTTTTAAAGTCAAACCAGAAGGCCACAATAATAGAGCTAATGGAGCAATGTCCAGTATTCACAGGCAACTGCAAAGTCAGCCCCTGATCTAGCTTCTAGAGAAAGAAACACACTATTTCCAGACAAAAACCAGTTTGTAACATTAGCATGCATGATACGTATGAGGCATGCAAGTGGACCAAGACATTTGGCACCAGGATAAAACAACTTAAGAGCAGGTAACCCATTTAGGAAACAATGCTCTGAAATGAGGCACTTAAATGCCTACAGCTCAATTTGAGTCCAGAGCCAGCAGCTGATGGCTGCCCAGTATTTCTGAAGAACAAGTTGCTTGAGAGTACCCAAGTTTTCCTTTTTGAATGTTCTTCTAGAGGTCCTTTCTCTGCCTTACAGTCAGTGGGGAAAGTACATCCCCACCCTGTCCCACCTCATGTTGGGTTTCTTGCCTGGTTAAGTTGAGGTGTGTACAGAAAAGGAAATATTAACATGTCTGTGCCCTTTACCCAGGAGCAAGATGCCCTGCTCTGCTTCATCCCACACTTTCATCTCCAGTAAGGCTCTGTTTTCTCCCTGTTCTGAAATACATCCCCATCTCCTCCCCTTCATAAATATATTCTATCTATCTGGCATATAACAACAGAGCACACCAGAAAAGCCCAATACCAAGGATCTGCAAATGTCTTTGATCTTTTCAACCAAGCTGCAAATATTTTAAGGCTCCCCCACCAAGGGGCCATTCAGCAAGCAAAACTCAGAGTTGCTGCCAGCCAGGTTAAACATAAACCACATATCCTGCAATCAGTATTCCTAAAGAAACAAAGCTTCAAATAACTGAAGCATTAAGCTCTCCGTAGTGGAAGTTAGGCAATGCTTTTCCAGGTGCTGTGATAGTACCTTGACTGCATGCTGTCCTAAAACCTTGGCAAGCTTTTCTCCCTAAGTTTCAGGCCCACTACCATTTAAGTTAGGATACCTTACTGCACAAGGCATCATTAAAAAATGGGTAAGATGACATTGAATGAGCCCTGTCTATTGCATTGGGTGCAGGCAATGTTAATGCTTGCACATCGCACATACGGGGTTCCCAAGTTACTATATATATTGTCTAACTTTCTGTACTATTTTTCATGTTAAGTAATTCTTAATTAAGTTCTTAAAAAAGTTAAAAAAACTTAAAAAAGTTCTCTCGCCTCTCCTAAGGAGTTTTTTGGCTGCAGACATTTTGCTAAAGTACTCCATTCTAAAGTTCTAGAAACAGCTTGGGATTTTTATGTTGGTGGGGTTTTTTTTTCCCTCCATCCCTCTCCCCCCAAAAAATTAAGTGCTCTTCATAAACACTGTAACAGGGACATGTTGTGGTGTCCTGCTTTTGCATATACCTTAATGTGTAATTTTAATACAGGTACCTACCATTACAACAACAGAAGAGAGATGCAGAGCTCTCCTCCTCTAACCTGTACCTGCCAGAGTTTGGTAAGTCTTCGCACTGTGATATAAATCTCTGAAGTTCTGTCTCCGGAAACCCATCTTGCTGGTAGTGCTGGAAATTGATATTTAGTTAAACCTTTGACAAGGCTAAAACATAAAATAACCCAAATCGTCCCCAGACTGCTTTTCAAACATTGCTCAAGTCTGAAGTTCTAAGATTCTCAGAACTGAATATGCTTTTTAGTAGGTATTTAGCTTCCACTGGAGCTGGAAATCAGATAGGCTTGTAAGAAAACTGAAGTAGGCAAGGATTTAAAGCCTCTCATCACTTTACACCCTCAAAAGTAGCCTTTATGTTTATCCTTTATATTGGCATGCACTGCAAGTCACAATATTGAGGGGGGATGAGAGTCTTGACAGCACCAATTTTGCCTTTTTATTCCAAACAAAGAGTCCATGCTTACCTTGACAGTTTCATACGTATCTGTAATGAGTGCAATGAAGAGACTCAGCACCATATAGATGAACAGACTGATGAAGGAGTAGAGGTAGATCCTACTGAATAACCAAACCAAGTAACTTTTCTGCTGCATTTTTGCAAAGGTAGCGAACATGTCATCTCCATTGATCAGTGAAAAAAGGCATTCAGAAACCATGTTCAGGGAGCGAAACTAGAGAGGAGGGAAGAAGACAAGGACATCCATCGCTGCTTTATTTGGATCCAAAGGCTGTACATAACATGAAGAAGATGCACAGCTGATGACTTGCTGCCTTGGATCTCTTTGTACAGTCAGGGTACGGCAAGTGCAAACAGTAAAACATTTGAGGAATGAGCAGTGTTTGGCACCTCCTGTATATGTACACATTTAATTCAGATAAGCCATTTTCACTTTTAAAAGGGATAAGCATAAAGTCTCCAAAGCTTAAGTCTGACACTAGAGTTCCACAAGATGAAAATTATTTCTCAAAATACCAGCATGTGATTGGGAGTCACAGCAGCTTCCACTTCTGACTCAGAGCTTTCATAACTCCAGGAAAGTCTGATTGAGTCATGGAAGCCAGACTCCTCAAACAGAGCAGCATCATGCTGAGGATGCACTATTTGTATATTAAGGGAAGCCTTGACATGGAAACTTAGAAGACAACAGTAGTAATCTCTCATTTGTTTGGAATCCATTCTCTTACTCAAGTTGCCTTTTTTCATGGTAAGTCTATTACCTTCACATGGTATGGTCCCAGCACAATCCATCCACAGAAACAGTAGCCCAGGTAGATCATAGCAGCACAACAGCAGAACCTCATAACACTGGGTAATGCTGCTCGCAGTGTTAGGATGAGAAGCTGCACAAAGCAATGCAGTTAGAATTCAACCAGGCATTTCTTCCAGCCCTCTTATAGCAACAAACAGAATAAATACCAACAGCACGAAGATCCCAGAAGATCCTTACATTATACTTCTGAAAGAAACCTAGGTAGCGAATGACTCCAAGCCACACAAGCATAGTGGATGTTCCGAGGAGTATGCTACACACATCGTAACTTGTCAGACTCTAAAACAAAAAAAAAGGAAAAATAAATAAAAAATATATATCAAGTATTATAACAAATAACAACCATCAGGTTCTAAATTGCAACTCATTACTACAAAGATCTGTTAAGAAAGATAATTTTTCTTAGCAATCTCCCTCATTAAAATTTAGTTTGGGGCAATATGCATTAGAGTGCGGAAGTCCCACCAGAGAGGAAGCGCACTTTGAAGTATAACTTATTTCACAAGCCTTTACATCTGGCTGTTTGTAAAACAGATCCTGACAAGACAAGCTTCATTTGCAAGGCCAAGAGTGCAGCAGCATGGTGGATGCAGAGTCACCCCCTCTGTACATGGCTCACTAAAACCTGCAGAGTGGCACTGCAAATGTTGTCATGCATCTTCCAGACCTGCAGCAACTGCTTCTGGAATCTGCACTGGCAGGTTCCCCAGAGCAACTTGGGAATCCCTCCGCTGTATCCCCATGGACAGTGTCAATGTGACTTTAGAACAGCAGAGCATAGAAGGTTCTTCCAGTATGTAAGCAAAGCAGTTTTTAAAAAACAGCGTGACTTGTCAGCAGAGCTCAGATGAGTACTAAGGAGGATCTTGTTAGCTGGCCAGGAACTGTGAGGTATAGAAAGTTACCAAGGAGAAGACTAATCAGCTTCTAATTAATTCTAACCAGTACTTCATTTATATTTTATTGGCACTTCATTACTTTTTTCCACCTATACATACTGGCCTGTTTTCATCCAAGTTAGCATGTACCCTGTTCCCTGAATTTGTTGCTGTACTCTGAAATGGATCATGACAACTTACTGAGTAAGAATTTTTCACTATTATCTGGTTTTATTCCTCTAATGGGTTTCTAATTTTTTATATTAGCATAAGTCATTTACAGCTTGACAAAACACAAATTTAGGTTACTTTAATGTGAACTTGTTATTCAGCCACTGACTTTCACACAAGAACATGGAACAAAATCTTGTTTTTATGGCCTGCAAGGCTTGCAAAATGAAGTAAAATGTTCGAGTAGAGAAGAGTTTTAGTAAAATACTCTCTTAGAATGGAAACATATATAAATAGATGTATTTATAAGATACTGGAATCCCAAATATAAGATCTTACTCTAATCTTGTTCTTGTCTTTGCTTCTCCTGAAGCAGGCTGAAGCTATCAGCCAACTTCCTTACAGCTTCTTCCTACTCCTGAGTTTATAGTTCCTAAGGTAAGATAGGGCAGTTTGTATGGGGTGTTTAGGATTGTCAAGCTGTCACCAGATGGATTTCTGACCCATCCTTTCATCACTACTGTCCAAAGTCTGCTGTGTTGCAATGTCACACTTCAAAGTTTGCTACAGATTTGGTGAACAACAACATTATCTGAATATTAGAGTGCTTCAGGATTGCATATTATAATAATTTTTCTTCCCTAATTCTGGTTGCAAATAATATGCTTTTTAAAGTTGGCCTTTTTTTTCATTATTAAGTTTATTTTGGAAATTGAAGGCCTAGAATCTGGCTGTGGCTGACTGTTAATGTACATGCTAGAAACCAGAAGCTGGGAAAGCAGCAAGGTGATGTTTAAGGAGAGAGCCTCTGTGCTGGTTAAACACTTGTTAAATAGGAACCAGAAAGTTAAATTCTAAATCTAAAAAAAAAAAAAAATCATCAAATAAGCAAATATAAGTGGTCCTAACTGGGGAAGAGAGAAAGTCAACAGTCTCAGACTTCCAGAGATTGAATTAATTTTATTCCTTGGTGTCACAAAGAAGCAAAGATAATTAGAACTAAAATATCTAGACATAATTGGAGGTTTTTTATGTCTCAACTGGAAACAACACATCTCAGTTACAATTCCAGAGAAGACTGAATTTTAAAACTTCATGCCGCTAGAGAATGAAGTATAGCCACCCTAAAGTCTTCCAACAGATTTAAACCTAGCTGGGACAGAAACAATCGGTTTTGCTTCCACCTGACAGTTTAAAAAGCTCACCTTAGCTTGTATCTCCATCTTCAGAGTTGATCCAACAATAGTTAAGACATCACTGACCATAATCAGGATGTACCACCCATTGACAAATTCCATTTGATCACTGAAAGATACTTCTTTCTTATAATAATACAGGAAAAAGCTTACAAATTCCTGCGGGAAAGTAGGAAAGAAAAAAGTTAATCAGACTTACACAAGACATGAAGACTTTCCAAGGAAAGAGTTATACCCACCCTTTGGAGCTGAATTCCTTTAACCACTGATCGTGTACAAAGGATCAATGAAGCCAGACAAGTCAATATAACAAAAGCATCAAAGATCATCATGTAATGAGTGTTCTTCTGTACTGCAAGAACAAAAATGTACATATTTATAGTCAGATGCATTTCCTCCTTTTGACCATCTTGAATATTGAAGTAAGAATCAAGTTTTGATGTTAACTTTATTTATACAACTGAATTAAGAAAAATATTAGCATTTTTCCTACAAAAGTTTATCTGACATATTTTCATGAGACACAAGTGCATCTGCACTGTGGATACCACCACTTCAGTTAATTTAGGAAGGTTGATACCACATCAAAAGTATACCAGAGTGCAAGTGCTTCTTACAGCCCTGCAGAATTAGAACTGTCCATTTTACAAGCACTGGAATGGCCTTTGGAGTGACAGAACTTGTAAAAAAAAAAAATCCCAGGAATGTAGCATCTTCTCTTCCAGACCAGTACTTGACTATCAGATGGGTTTTCTGTCCTAGACTAGCACAGATAATATGCACTGCTGCTCAGCTAGCCAACCAACACTGAGCTAGCCTTCAGTTCTCCATCTCTTATGTTACTAAAATTCACAGTCTTGATCAACTAAGGTCAAATTTTGTACCAAATCTACCACTAGACCCCTTTTTTCATACCTATTATATAGCCAAAGCTCAATGAGACAGTGTAAGGATTAGATTTTTAATGCTAAAAAAGTGATTGAGAAGAACAATTGAAATAAATTAATGCTAAATTTTCAAGAAGATGTAGCAATTCTCCAAAATGCTATACTGAAGTTCTAGTTGACTTCACAAACTGCAGTACTCAGAAAAAGCCCACCTACTTCTTGCTTATACCAAAGTCACTAACACATGTACTGTTGCCATTTAAACGGGGTTTGCAGTGTAGTCCAGAACAGCAACAACTTGTTATTGTTCAATTGTAATCCTTACCTTTGTATTCTTTCTTGACTTTCAGAAAATAATACAGTGACTCCAGCAGATGATTTTGAAAACTGTTACAGAGGCAATCTACACAGGTATCAGATGTGGATTATTACAGAAGCCTGATAGCAAAACCTTGTACTGTTGCACTAGCAATCTGTTAGAGGTAGCATGCCATCTGGTGTGCGTTTGTACCATGGCAGCTAGCAAAGCTAGTTCTTAAACTGTGTGTAGCGAATACGCATTTGCTTAAGTGGTGTGTTTTGTACTCTGTAATACATTTCATTAAATTCCTCCAAATTTATTCCAATCTGGATCTTTAAAAAAAACCCAAAACTTCTCTTTTTTCACTACCAGCTCTTAATTTACTGATGTAGGCACAGCAAAAGGGAAAGTGGCAAAGCAGAAAAATCAACCTGGTTCATCCTATTGCTTCCTTTAGCAAAAAATAAAAAATAAGTGGAATGTGAAGTCTTGGAAAGCTTCTGACTTTCAAAGATATTGTTTTCTCTAATCAAAAAAGATCTCAGGCAATGTTTTGACCAGACCCAATAGCTGCCAACAAGGGGTGCTCTTGTGAGTAACTATTTAATATAATTTAGCCATACTGTGCATTTCCGATACACCAAAATACATGCCAAACAACATTTAAGCACCAGTAGAAGTATTTCTAGCAATTCCACTCTAGCAAGCCTTATCAACAGCGCTTCCTTATCTTTCCTGGTGCTACGTCCTGAAATAAGAGTGAATCGGTTTCTACTTTCCAACACTATCATGTGTCCTTCTGTTGCCTAGTGCTGGAAGAATGGTTCACAGCCTACCTTAAGCAACAAGGAGCATAAATTCAATAGCCAAAGCTAGAAGGATGCACAGTGAGATGTGAAAAATTTTGGTTTGACATTATCAATGGTGCAAGGTTTGAGAACTGCTAAGGAAAATAATGGTGTGGCTGGATTCCCAGGGTTTCAGATCAGAGGTTGAAGAACAATTCCTTAGAAAATCAGGATTTAGAGCCAAGCCACTAGAGAATGTTTGTCAATAGTGCCTCATCTTGTAATAAAGAAAGAGTTTAACAAACATTGTGCTAGTGTGGCAAAAATTTAACGTGAAAATTTGAATGTATTTATGTCACTTACTTGATCCAGAAACGTGCCAGTCTTTACATTCCCTGATCTCTATGTCATTGTCTAGACTTATTTTAATTCTTCCACTGTGTGCTTTGTTATCAAACACTATCTGTATTAACAAAACAAACAAACAAACAAAATGTGCATATCTTTTTAAACATTACATATGTAGCACACTGTAAGCTAAGCCTGCATAATGATTCAGAATAATTCTCCCAGGAGAGAAGTTACAAAATATGTTTAAGCCTAAGGCAATTCCAGTTTATTCAAATAAATGCTGTCAAAGTGAGAGACAAATCTGGTGAACCCTGTATTTGCCATAAATTGATCAATCAACTAGATGCTCCATGAAATTCTTTTAAACTACAGCCTCATTCCTCTGTAATCTGAAAACAACCCTTCCTAGAAGTGTCTCTCTGAAGAGAAGAGGTTTATGCTTTCATTATACTTCGGATGGATTATACCACAAAAGTCAAACAAGTGCTTCAGGACCATGTCATGAGCACTCGTATCTTAACCTCCCACAGTGACAACCGGCGGTATTTACAGGGTACACTAGGCCACAACAGAGTAAGCCAGCCACCAGTGGGGACCAGTCCGTGGTGCCCAACACTTTAGAAAGCACCTGCACTGACTCTGTATGGTAAATCATCAGGAACTATCTCTCGTTTTGAACAGAAAGGCACATGGCAGGCTTCTACATACCCTCAGAGTGAAATCATAACAGTCAGGGAGCTCGTGGTGACGAACAGTCTGGAGGTTAATTGCCTTCAGATTGAACTTGAGCTGCACCATCACCAGTCTGCAAAGAGAACTTCGTATTAGCTTTTACATTAGAGAAATGCACGAATACCCCAATACAGGAGGTACTGATTCCCCCTCACCTGTGGAAATCCAGAGTGAAATTCAAATTGTGCTTTCCCACTGTTGTGTTGCCTAACGGCATCATTGGTTCAACGTACAAACAGTCTGCAATGGATAAGGACTCACAACAACATCTCATGGGTTATCATGCTCTTTAACTTTAATCTGCCATTCCCACTGCCAAGGCTGTAAAGAGCTGTTGACTATACCAGACAAGATAGCACACTTAAGTGAGGGGTCATCTGTGAAGCCAGTTGACAAATACGTTGGCTTCCCTGAACCAAGCCTGAGCCAAGTTATTAATCATGAATCCACAGGGAGGGCTCCTGAAATTAGCCCAAAATACTTGTATTAGATGTCCATCAGTGCCAACAGCTCATCACTTGTTCTGTGGCAGTAGACATAAAAGACAGCTAACCATGGAGGTGAGGGCTAGAGGTTAGTTACATGGTTGTTTTCTTACCAGTTTTGGCTGGTAATAAGTTCAGTACAGATCATGTGATAGGACTATACAGTACAGTGAGGGGGTTTTAAGAATTATCATAAATGTAGGGTCCCCTTCCCAAAGAACTGATAAAATAGATTAGGTTCATCACCAGTCACAATCTCTGGGTCTATATCAAAGGTGTCATTTCCAGGACAGATGATTCCTCGTTTGTAGAACTGCTGACAGAGGGCCAGAGCTGTCTCTTCTGCTCCCTTCTTCTCATAAGCATGGTTTCCAACAGAGATGTTGGGCAGCTGTAAGTACTGAAGTTCAGAACAAACAGACAAACCAACTTAGATCTGACACCAAAGCTGCTAGTCTCTGAAAAAATACCCAACCAACCAGAAAACAATCCAGAAGTGTCTGGATCTGTGCCACAACCCATCTTTTTCATTTAAAAGTTCATCTAAAGAGCTCGGAAACCTACACTACACTACAGCTGACTTCTCAAATACTTTAAGGTATTTGACAAGCACAGTAAGTGCAGGATTTGGATCTAGTTACCTTTTTGCTTATTATTTTTTTCTCTTTACAATCCTTACAGGAAAGTCTAATTTGTTACTTGCAAAGAACTCTGGCTCAACTCCAAGGACTGCACATTTAGTGCAGAAGTAGTATGCTGATTAGCTTTAAGAATGTTGCCACAGTACAATGCTCTGGCAATGATAGAAAACCTGAATGAGTCAATACTCCAGTCTTAAGCAACAGGCTTAGAAGTTCAGTTTCAGGCACCATTACAGAAGATGGAAGAATAGGCACCCAGGTAAAGAGCATATATATGGTATATATTGCAGCGACAATCCTTACCTGATTTATTGCAAAGAATATCTGGTCATAGACATCTGTTTGTGTGTATACAGCATAGGTATCATCCATTCTGTCCATGTATCCTTTCAAGAAGAGATGTTTGAATGCAACAGTGTTCTCTTCTTTGAAGGCAACCACCATTTGATTGCTCAGTCCAAAAACCACCAGCTGAAAAAGACATTTATATTTCCTGCTCAAAGACAAAGTTGGCTTCTCTATTAGCATATGAATCCTGTCCTACAAACAGCCACTCTTTTGTCACACTGGTAGTCACAGCAGTTACATGCAAGCTACTCCATTTCACAGCTGCTGAAAAGAAGTTTGACTTTAAGGAAATAATGGGTTTCAAGAATGTTCCTTTAACGCGTTTACCAGCATCTTGGCCAAGGACTTGCATTTTACAAAGAAAAGGATACCATCTCAAATTCAAGCTACCTATATACTGTTACACATGCTTTGTTAGTTCAGCCTGACATTAATATGACTTGCCTTGGGGAATATCAGTGTTGCTCAGCAAAAAAGGCAGGACAGGACTTAGCCAGACCCTGCTTTGAAGTCCTTAACTCCAGCACACAAAAGGCAAATTGAGGACAGAAAAACAAGCATCTCTCTCACAGGTTTCAGTGCTTCGAGAATAACTGATCAAAACTGTGCTTGTAACAGCATAACCTCTGACAAACAAATATAACAAATACAACAAATACATTGCAACAAAAAATAGCATAAACCCCTGCTTGCTACTATCCAGGCTGGAAAAGTTTTTTAGAAGAATGTGCTATATTGTTTGTGGGAGCTCACAGTTCTCTTCAGTGACTATTGTTTCAAACCTAGTGCCAAGAGCACTGTGAAGAAACTCATCAGAGATAAGTCCAAATCAGCACTCTACAGATTAGTTTTATGGCCACGATGCAAAATGGGTATGTATGTTTCGATAAGGATAATTCAGTTACAGAGATACCAAAATGCTCTGTGGCCAAGCTCAGCGTGCTAGGCACAAGGAATACACCAGGAAATAAACAGTGCTAAGACTGAATTACCTACAGGCAGTTTTTTCTCTGAAAAGGCTAAATCAGCATTATCTTCTTTCTTATTTAGGTTCTTCCACCATCAAATTTTATTCTAGTTGCAAAACGGGACAGATGATGATACATTTAAAAACGAAGCAGAAATGAAGGGATACAAACATGATGCCAGATGCATAGCAGAACTAATATTTCTGCAGTTTGTCCCATCAGTCATACAACCATGGAAAACATTCTCTATACTTGTATTGTCATGGCACTGACAGCACCGTAAGGGTAAATCACATGTGGGAAACTGAAGGATCATCATCTGAGGCACTAGAAAGGTTTTGTGAAAGACCTTCTTCCTCCTTAACCACAAAACTTTGAGACCATCAATTGCCTTTCATGCAGCAGATAAATGTGTTATTTTAAATCTATGGTGCAAGGCTGGGTGACAGGAAAAAAATTTTTTTCACTACAAGAGTTTATATACCACCAGTTTCAGGTTTTATCACTGTGACACTGAAACATGAACAGTTCCCTCCATCAGACACTCACAGGGAAGAAGATATTGGGGAAATAGACTGGCATCGAAAAAAAGGGGGGTGCGAAAAGAAAGTAAAGTAAGAAGTCAAGCTGAGCCCTTGAACATGGTTCCTTTCATCTCTACTCTTAGGAAAGCTATTTTTTCAGTCAGTAATTTTATGATAAAACTATGACATCTGAGATCTAAGCTACATATATGCAACTAAGACAGTTTTGCAGTCTGTCCTCTGCCTTTCTCTGCACCGTGCCGTGAGTAGCATTTGTCACCTGCACTCATTTGACTTCCCATGGGCTAAGAAGAATCCCTGCTTCTACAGCTACTCACCTGAACAGTAACCATTGCTATTTTGAGTAGCTGAATCCCAAGTTTCCAAGGTTTCCTGCCCCGGGCCCAGAATTTCTCACATGGGTTCATGAAGAAGAATTTTAACTTCCTTCTAAGATGGTCTTCCAAAAGCCCCTCCTGTGATATTGACGGATGTCGTTTGTAACTGCAAAGATTTTCATCATCGTGAGCACTGCAGCTGCTCACAGCCACTTCAGGATTTTCCATTTCTGAAATGAAGAGAAGCGTACGTCAAGTCAGAAAACAGGCAAGCATGAATATAGTAGCATCCTATCAGTCTGCACTGACAATTGGGCTCCAAAGTTGTGTATCTTCCGTGAAAGGCATTTGCACATTACACTGAACTTCCTCGTAATACTGCACATGTTCTGCAGAACCCAAAGTAAAGTTGGGCAAGCTTTTAAATTTGCAGATAAGCTGTCAGGACATTTATTTAACAGAGGAATTTCTGTCCCTTTGGAATTATAGAGTCACTTGCTAAAAACTTCCTCTCTCACTTGTCAACATCATCATATATGCAAGACATCCTGACTCATTTCCTTCTGTTTCCAGAAGAGTACCAGAAGCCTCTCATGAGCGTTCACTCTTCTGGAAAACTTACCTACTTCTGTAGCTAACATTTCCCCCCACATCTTCAATGCTGTCCAGTCCTTGAAAGAAATGGAATTTCCAAGACGGGCAGCATTTTTCTTAGACATTAGTATTAGCACTCTTGGAAATGGAGACCCAGAATGCCAAATTGCAATTCAGATAAATTATCTGAGTGCATTAACTTGTCATTTAGCAAGATTATATGTATTTCTTCAGCCATAAAAGACTGAGTACAAACCAGTGGTGATCCTGAACCAGATAAAAATATCAAAAGGTGATTGTATCCAAGCATCATGACTAGCTGAAGAAGCTTACAGTTTAGATGAGTTTGAGGGAAAAGATTGGAAGAGAACCTTATAAGCAGTTTGAGATGTTACTTTCCATAGTATTCAACATGTTTAGATGTTAGTCTGTTATTAACTTCACTGACTCCCAAACATTTTATAAATGCTTTGTAAAGTACTTACGAGGTAGCCAGGAACTTTATTTCAGATAAAAGATTCTTGACATTAAGAACAGAGGAGACAGCCTAGGTTGTGAATAAATTCAAAGATGCGCCATATTGGACAAATCATTTTCAATTTGCATAAGGAAAGTTTCTGACAGATCTTAAACAACAAACCCCCAACAAGATGAATATTTAAAACCGCACAGATCACATCCCCTCCCCTCCAGCAGCCATTGCACACACCTGAACACGAGGCTGTTTTCAGATACGATTCAAGACCTTGAACTTCCCCAGCTGTCAGAGAGGGCAAGAAAGTTTTGAATCAGCAGTTTAACACTAAGAACAGGCCCAGAAAAACAGGCTTAAGAAAAAAGTATCAGCTCCTGTTTTGCCAGGTCGCCATTGTTTGCAGGATACAGCATGCCACCGTTCCCACCCGTCTTTCTTACCGCTGATCAATCACTTCTAAGTGAAGCCCTACTCTGATAATGCAATATTCCTGGCAATGTGCGTGCTTGACTTATAAATAAATACATAAATAATACTTCTTGACCTCACGGTACCAGCTTCAGTTGATGTTCCAAACATAACGCACAGTGTTACGCGGAGGCAGCCCGGGCCCCGCGGCGGAGGTGCAGCAGCGGCAGCGCCC